CAGAAGTCTTTCAAAGAAAGCTAACAAGTGCAGTAAGGAGAACATTTTACGCTGCACAACTCAAAGCTATGATCACATCTAAACCGATTTTGTGTTTCCGACTGAAGGATAGAATGCCAGATTCTGCAGCCTCATTCATTCACCTGTTCCTGTGGGACCGGGTACATCGGCCGCACGACCAGGCGCTTATCCGATCGCGTTCGCGAACACCACCCGGCTTGGCTGAGGACTGGAACAATTAAGACAATAACGAGCGCGGTGTGTTCGCATCTCGTTGAGTCAGATCGCTCGGTAAATGTGGCAGACGCGTTCCGACCGATTTACAAGGTTCGATGCAGGCAATCAAAAGCAGTGAAGCATCGTATCTTAGCCACGGCCGAAGCCGTAAGTATTCGGATTCACAAACCCCCCTTGTGCGCCCAGAAGAAATTTGTGCAAGCACTTAATCTCCCCTGGCCCACTTCAGCCATTTCAACACGTGTGCAATCACTTGAACCTTTGACACTGTGATCAGTTTTCACACAAACACACGCACGCATGATTGGAGCCACAGCTGAATCATCAGGACTCGAATTTCCCATCCCCTGTTTCGTTTCTTATCGTTAGTCATATTTAATGTTATGTAATGGCATGATTACGATTAACTGAAAACGAGCTTGTTTGTGACGCTTTTGTTTAGATCAATAGTGAATGATAAAACGGCCAGTTCGCCGAGTTCACCCAGCGCAGCGGAGTTTACATGCATATCGCTAGCCCTTTTTTGTGGCAACCTGAATTGCGACCAGACCGAGGGAACGTCTAAGTATGGAAACCTTGGATAGAGGGCTACACAGCAATGCAGGAAGTCAGAATAACTCCAGGAAACACCGGTAGAAGGAGCCTATATGGTTGAGATTATTTTACAGTGTTTCAAGAAAAAATTAACAAAACGCCATGAAACCAAAAGCTCCATTGAGATACAATCACGATCATATACAACTCACTCTGGATACCAATCCTTAACTGACTTTATTTTGCGTAAACAACCCGCTTCCAGGGTGCAGATCAAATAAAATAAAATCAGCTTGCGTTTACTGAATCGTAGTCATGCCAATATGTCAAAATAAATATATCAATATGCAGATCCATAATTACTCTAGTAAACAGTGCATAAGGGATTGTGCAGACCAATTCTTACCGCTTCCGCTTTGGTGAGCATACGAAAACGAACTCTTTCCAGTGGTTGGAATCCTACGGCCACATTTACACTGTGATTTGTTTCAGCCAAATGTGGAACCACTCCACTAATGAGTGACCTGACTTTCTTGCGGGGCGTTGTTTACGGCTTCGTTCGCAACAACGCCTGATAGTGCAGCCTACACGTGTTGTGCCAAAGGAACAGTGAATGGGAATTTGGTGACCAGTGAACTAACGTCCAATGATATCATTATTTAATCGTCAAGTTTGCTTCACAAATGTTGCTCACAGAGGTAAATGTGTCTCGTAATGTATGATTCAACGATCGATTTCAAATTTATCTTTCTTTCTTTTTCATTTAATTTCCTTTTTATTGAATATACAAAGATACAATTTTCAGCAAGGAGGAAGCGGCCAATCAAAGCGCTGTCATTCCACACACAGAGAATGGGGAAAGTCAGGTGATGGCCGTGGGAATCGATCACACATACGTTTTGTTTGCTGAATTGTGCCCCGCCATCTAATAAAGCTTCCATCTTCACTATTTAATCTATTCGGTTGTGAATCAGGATTCTCATCTCTTTTTCAAGTTTGTTTGTCATGATTTATCTGCTTTTCTTCAGATCTCTTAGTCCTTGAATATGTTGTTTTGTCACTAGTTTACTTGTTTTCACTTCACTGGACCTGTAACACAGAACGCGAACTTTGAAATCAGTGTACCCGGAAGTGATATGCGACATATGTGATTTTTAGTTGCGGAGGAGGGATTCATTTTTATCATATGGTAATTGTCGGATCTGAATCAATAATAACATGATTGTCTTACTATGCTCTCTATTTGGCCAAGACGTATTTGCAGCTCAAATTGATTAAGGCGTGATACGAAAACGG